GACCTCGGCGGTGGCCGGCCCTCCGCGCGGCCACGGCCACACTCCTCCTCCTCCTCCTCCACCACCACGCCATGTCCTCCTCGCGACGCAAGGCAGCGGGTCGCGCGGCCTAGGGTTTGGCCCCTTCGTCGTCGATCGTCCCCATGGCCGCGGGGCCAGCCAGCTGAGGCCCTGACGCGGCGGACGACTCTTGCGGCGGAGGGACCTCCGTGGTGGGCGTGGATGACGACGAGGAGATCACGTCAGCAACCTCGGTGGTGGATCTGAAGTGGTCTCTCGCGGGGCCCCTCCCGGTGGCGGATCTGAAGCTGGAGCATGGCGTGGACCTTGCGCCGGCAACGGAGGCGGTGGATCTGCGCCGAGTAGGCAGATCCAGCATGAGGCCTCCCTGTCTCCACTGGATCCGGTTGCATGGGCCCCACCGTCGCGCTGGACGGTGCCACACGTCCGCGAGCTGGCCCCCGCTGCCCCCCGTAGGTGGCCGCCACCGTGGCTGCCACCCCAAAGCGGCTTCAGCCCGTAGGTTCGCCTCTCCTCGCGCGCCGCGTTGGCGGGGCAACGACGCCCCCGGCCTGCTGCGCAGCGCCGCGCGTGGGACCCGACGGCAGTGGATGTCCTCGGCCACTGAGCGGCACGATAGACCCATGCCGGTAGCCGCCACCGCTGCTTCCCCCGCGCCGCCCCTTCTCGCCACTCTGCGTGTCCTCCACCAAATGGTTGGATTTCTCCGCTCCCCATTCAATCTATACAGTGAATCGGATGAAAAAATCCCCTTTATCTCCTTTGCTACCTTGCCGGCGCGCGCGAGGGCGCGCGTGATGGACTAGTATTTTACTATACAACACCCTCAATGGCTGAGTTTAGCCCACGATTTGGTATACTAAGGTGTGAGGCTATCTCCAACAACAACACCTAAAATACAGGCAAAAGGTTCAATACCTATTCGGTATTTTCTCCAACAAGACCCAAAAGAGAATCCTTTCTGCAAATGAGTTTCCAGGAGAGAGGATGCCCATATTTGGGTTGTGCCTCTCAAGCAACCCAAAATAGGTCTCCCGTATAGGTACTCTGTTGGAGGCTAATTTTAAATATCTTGCTATCCATTTTGGATTTAGGTGTCCATATGAGTTCCTTGTTGGAGACAGTGACCGAAATGGAAATGTGTTACGTCCCACAATGAACGCATATTTTTACATGTTTGTTCAAAAATGCCATGCACGCTCTAACCACTAGGATGAATGCTTAGTCATGCTGAGATTATCAGCGTATATTTGGTTTAGAGACGACTAGAGTCAGGATGGGTCGATCTCATTTTTTTACTATTGTTGGATGTGGGACACCTGAAGATGAATCATCAAAGAACATCTTCATCAGATCCTCTTTACCTACAACTAGTAATAACGGGATTAAAAAAAATGCAGTACATCTTCTTTTCAATCTTTTTTCCTATTTTTCTCAATTAAAAATTAAAAAAAATCAACCACTCAAATCCCATGAAGAGTATAACATGCGAACAAATCGACTATCTAATATAAATGAATCTACAAATAGTTTTGAGTCTAATCTATTATCATCAATAGTGTGGTTCGATCGGATCGATGTAGCCATGATAACGATGTTAAACTAAAGCCAAAGAATCTATAAAACCATCTATATGTTGACAGATTCATGAAAACATATTATATACGTGAGAGTATAGGCAAATCGGCTAAAATAACCGATGCAGTCATAGCAAACAAATAAAGTACATATCTTGATCATGAATAAGACTACTAATCGATAGTTTCTAATCTAAAGTCTTACCAGTGAGGTTCGACCAGATTGATGCAGTTATGATAGTGTCATTAGATTAGATCTCATTAACTAGTAAGTTTATTAAGATTGAAACATGTCTTTGGATGCATACTATATTTGACTGGAATAGAGATAAAACAGCCGATATAGCGGAATTAAGCCTTCAATTATAAGATTTAAAGCGTGACCAGATCAAAAGACGACCAATTGAGATGATATGATGCCGATCTATCTCTATCTCAATCGGGTGATTTTGTTATAATTAATAAAACATTAATTATAGCAAGATCAATAATTGATGAATCAACCAAAAATAATAAGGAAAATCTTACTAATCTTAGCAGATTCGATAACCGGTGATATTGTATTTAAAAACAGGTTATTTAACACAAGATCGATAACTTTAATCTATATTATGATTCGTAAGAGATCAATCAACTGATGCAGCCTTACAAACTACGATACATATCGATAACTAACTTATATTATGGCTCATAAATGATCAATCAGCTGATGTAGCTTTACAAGCACAATACAAGTCGTGACGGTACTTACACGCAAGCTGGAGGTCGATGCAGCCTTGTTTGCTGAAAAACTTGCTGAGATCTACGGTGCTCCGATTACTAATGCGATGGCGAAAGCCGGAAAGATTGTATTGATTGAGTGTTCGTTCTTTTTTTACAATAACCAGGGTCTAATATTTGTACCCGGAACATAAACATGAATCCTACTCAAATACGAGTCATTACAATTCTTGGAATAAAAGAAAACTTCGTAACTTAATAATAATCTGGACCCCAATTTTCCTTATTTGTAGAGTCCGACACATCTTCCTGGCGCCACTCAAGTATAACACATTAACGTCGTCTGCTGACGTCATCCATAAAATAGCCGATTATGACATCACATCTAAATCAGCTGATATCGATTCACATCTAATCGATTCCTCGATGATACAATCATGAAACTTCGAGTTTCTGCGTTCTTTTTTTCCCAAATTTTGATGTAAACAATTACGTTTAAAATGCTCTCGTGGCCCACACATCAGGGACACAGTCCGCACCAGGGCTTCCTAGGAAGGTCCGAATCCAATTTTTTTCCGTTTCCAAAGATGTCCGATGACATTCATGGTTTAATTTCTTTTATTGTGCAAGAATCTTAGTGTAGCATGTAAAAAGATTTTTCTTAATTTTGTTCTTTATGAAACGAGAAAATTGTTATTATAAATTTGACTAATTACTTTGGTACTGTACTCCGTATCTATAAATTAGGCTAAATAGTTAAGACAGAGCGTCCGAAGGGTACAAAGAGCTGTCGCAGCTGAACTGATGTGGAAACAGTGTCTTATCCCATGGATGAGTATGATGGACCTCGCCGCGTGCGTTTGCTATCCGCCGATGCCCTCTGCCCGCGGTTTTCTGCGCGCTGCCCCCCCTGCCACTCTTTAATTTTGTCGGATCTGGGTGCTGAGTGCTGACGATGGAGGGAGACAGGGCAGCTCCCTGCTGTAGGGTCTTTGATGGAAGAGAAGGCGTTGACTTGACTCACGGCTCAGGCACTGCGGGACCAGGGGACGGCCACGGACGGAACTGCCCAGGGTCACAGGGTGAGAGGTCTAGATGTCTAGTAGATGCATTCAGATCGATAGTTCAATTGTTTTTTCTTTTTTCCAAGTCCGTTTACATTTTACTGTGAAATTCAAGATGTACCACGCCGTCCAGGGCTTGCCCACCAAGCGTGAGAGGTCCCATCTGCCTCGGGCATGTTTGAATACTCCAAACTAAGGGCCTGTTCGGCAGGACTGAAAAATACTGTTCCGGCTGATTGTTGTGAGAGAAAAATACTGTTCTGGCAGGATGTGAACAGTGATTTCGTGACACAGGAAACCAGCCAGCCCGCTGGCATCCAGCCAGCCGAACGGGCTCTAAACTATCAAACATTCAAGAGTTACTTTTTATTCAAAAACTTTATCTTTTATTTTACTAAAAACATTTTAGATTCTTGGCTACACTTTTGGTAACTACAATGGCACAAATAAGTATTTTTGGTCATAAATTGCATTGTTAAGACTACAATGACAAAGGATCGTTTAAACAATATACCATGTCACTCAAGATCAACAATAGAGGTTGAAGCGAGATAAAAAAAAATGGTAGCCACGCTAATAATCACAAGAGAATCTTGCTTCAAGATCAACATTCATAACTGGAACGAAGGGGTCACTAAATTTGCACTCCCTCCATCTTAAAAAGAGTGTCCCTTTAGAGTTCGTGCTGCTCAATCTTTTTTAAATTTACCTAGATTTATAGAAAAATATTAGCATCATCTGTATATGTGAAAAGATATATTACGAAAATATATTCAATAATTTATATAATAATACTAATTATGCACAATAAATATTAATATTTTTCTTATATATATTTGGTCAAAGTTAAAAACTTTTAACTTCTCGGAAAATGATAATAGTAATTTGTTTTGGACAGAGGGAGTAAACAACTATGATTTGTTCAATTTTGAATCTTTCGTTAACTTGAGTTAGCCTATTTTAGTTGAACCAAGAGAAAGTTGCCGCACTTTTCTAAGTCTTTGACGCATGAGATCCAAACAAGAAAGGTTAACTGTGACCGCAAGCCCACAACGAAAGGGGCACCTAACTCAATAAATCTTGCATACCTATATATGGCAATCTGTTGTTATAAACCAATAAATTCCTCAGTGTTAGTAGGTCTTAGAGATTTAATAGTTCATGATAGTTGAATTAATATATAAGGATTTATTGGTTAAACCCTAAACCCTTAAAGACTGTATACAACTTTCCAAGCAGGGTGGAAATTAACAAAAATGGGCCATAGAGAACAGAGCACAAACCACAATATGTATAATGAAAGGTGAGTAAGATTTCGAGAAACAAGTCCAAATCTTCTGCACTCCCTGATAGAAACTCTCTTCCAATCATGTCCATTGTGTGAATTGCGAAATCCTCTCCACAAACGACTCAAGAATTACACAAACTCGCCTCCTATCAAATACGATACTCGGTAAATTCAATCCACAAATTTACCAACAATTCCAATTCAAAGAAATTACTGCCCATTCCTACAAATTTTTATCAAATTCAGCACAATCGTCAATCACTAGCTCATCACTACTACAAGAAAAAACTAACAAATTGAACAACACTCGCCATTCGGCCGGCACGCTAGCTAGCAGTTCTTGTCGGGCTTGGCGAGCTTGCATTTGACCTTCTGGAAGACGACGGCCGTCGTCCCCGGCGGCGCGAGCTGCAGCTTGAGCGGGCACGTCGCGGCCAGCTTGCACTTGGTGACGTGCGCCTGGTACCTGACCTCGCCGGCGAGCGCCACCTCCACCTGGAACAGCCCCGTGGCGTTCTCCTTCCCGAACTCGGCGACGCCGGCGTTCCCCAGCGCCACGTACGCGCCGTCCGCACCGGAGTCGAGGTGGTACACGCGGGTCTTGCCCGCCGGGTGGACGTCCCCCTTGCCGGCGAGCTTGACGCGGTCGAACCGCTGGCCGTCGAAGCTGTAGTCCGCCTCCAGCGGCTCGGTGTTCTTGATGCTCATGGCCCAGTTCCGGTTGCGGACCGTGAGCGTGAGCGAGAGGTTGTAGGCGAGCGCGGTGGCCGGGGAGGTCACGAGGGCGAACCTGGTCAGCGAGGCGGCCTCCACGGCGACCTCCACGTGGCGGATGAACCCGTAGGCGACCAGGAGCACGACGAAGAGCACGACGGCGGCGAGCACGAGGAAGCAGATGCAGCAGCCGAAGATGGTCTCGCGCGTGTCGTAGGAGATGCAGGGGCAGCACCGGTCGCAGAACGAGTCGTAGCAGCCGCCGCAGCAGCAGCAGTCGTCGAAGCAGCACATGGCGGGCAAATCTTGGGCTCCGGTGGCAATGGAGGGAGAAGAGATCCGCCGCGGAATGGATGGGGAACTAGAGATTTGCAGCCTTTTCGTCAGTAGGTTTCAGCCGGGGGTTATTTATTGGGTTTTTCAGCCGGGTTTACGAGTCTAGAAATTAACCAGCAAACAAGTTGTGGATGGGTAATTTTTGTCTTTCTTTACTGTTCAACATTGCTTATAAACTGACTTATAATGACATACGCCACAGTAACCTGCTCGTTCGTGGTTGGTTGTACACTTGTACAGTTGTACTAGTACTAGTAATAAATTGATGAGCTCCTTTTGCCGTGTAAGGAAAGTTCCTTCCATCCTAAATTATCTCATTTTAATGTTCTAGTAAATCAAACTTTTTAAAATTAACTAGACGGTACTCCCTCTCTTCCAAATTATAATATATTTTGGCTTTTTTAGATTTAGATATATAGTTTTTGCTATGCACTTGGATGAATACTATATCTAGATATATGATAAAAATAATGCGTCTAAAAAGTCTAAACGTCTTATAATTTGAAATGAATAGAGTTTACCTGAGGTTTTGTAGGTAGATTTGAGGAGTGGACACGGATTAGGATGATGGGTGTCTGGCTTGACATCCAAATGGGTGAGTGCTCCCTTCTCTTCCTCCTATACATCATTTCCATCTCATCTCATTCATTCTTGTTACGTAGATCATAGCGCTTTGATGTCATAATGATTCATACCCATAGAAATGCATAACTCCTTGTTCATTTGTAGGATAGACTCGAAGACAAGCTTCAATCTAGAAAATTAGGATAGTTAGTACCAATATGCATGTACAACGGTATAGTGTTAACAAAATTGTTGATCCTGACACCACAAATTTCAAACATCTTGTTGATGAAATCATGGACAAGTTTCCATGTGGCTATGGTGAGGTGGTGAAGTTGTTATACTTCTGTGCTAATAGGAAGTCCAACATCCAAATCAAATCTGACCAAGACTTAGTTGAAATGTTTGTGAAACATATGAGTTCAAAGTGTTGTTTCATGTCTATTGCTAACCATAATCCTAGTATTGATCCACTTATACCATCTTAGGACATCTTTAAGAGGAAATTGGAAGTCGGTTGGTCTCCAATTAAGTTTAGAGCATCTCTAACAGATTACTCAAATCATCCCTAATACCTAAAAATGGACATATATGTAATTAAGAGGGTCTAATAGATTACCTAATCCATCCCCAAGAATCACCAAAACTCCTCTCCTCTCTCTCAAATGCAAGGGATGCAAAGCATCTCCCCTATCTAACAGTTAGTGGTAGCACCATGAGATTTCACGTGCACAACTGGGACCCTCCCTCGTCGGCATGGAAGCACAGCACCTGCGGTCGCATAGCAGATGCCAAATTAGAGCTAGAGACGCTAGCGAGGTGTGCGGGGCCTGAACACACATCCATTGTGCACTAGCCCTGCCCAATCCAAACCATAAGGCAGGGCCCTCCTCATTGGCGTTGCTAAGATTATCCACCTCGGCTTGTGCTCCTCTGCTTGCACTTCGATCCATCGAGTGATGGTAAGAGCACCCGCAATGGTATAAGCTAGTTACTAGCTCTAACTCAATCTCTCCAATAGTGGTAGCTTTTAGCAATGGCTCATAGTATGATTAGGTCCACATGACACTCTCACATGATCTTGGAATGTGTGTATAAGCGTAACCCTTGATCAAGAGCTAGCTTTTCTCTCTCTTCTATTAAAATATAAAAAAATACTTAGAGCTAACTTATGAGTCAGCTATAGTTGGCCAACGGGTCGGCCCGGCTCGGCATGGCACGGGCACGGGCCAAGCATGGCCCGCACAGTGTCGGGCCGGCACGGCATGCCGTGCCTCCTGGGCCATGCCTCTTCGGCCCAAGCACGGCACTACGGGCCGCAATTCATGCCGTGCCGGCCCGTTGAGCACGGCCAAAATTGCGTGCCGTGCCAGCCCACAGCCCGGTGACCTCAAAACCCCTCAAAAAGATTCACTCATCAAACACTTATCAAATTTCACAAGTCACAACTCAAACAAAGGCACAATCTATCAAAACACTCAACTATTCTAACTTTGAAGTCAAAACTCAAGCAATCTCAAATCCCACAAAATAAGAAACAGAGCCACAGAGGAGAATTTAAAAGATAAAATGAGTTGTTTGTGCAATGCTGTCTCATTAAAAATCTTTCTAAGTAAAACTCACCCTTGTGACAAACACTAGGGAAAAAGAGTGCAGCACAGCTCTTAATAAGTATTCTATCATTGTTCAAAGGTCTCAAGTCACAGTCATAGATGACAGATACAAAATAGAGATAACAGATTAACAGAGCACTCTCTCATCTCTCAACACTAATTACCAGCAGCCCTAGATGTACCAGCCCCAGATGAACCAGCAGTACCAGCAGCCCCATCTACATCTTCATCAAGGTACAGATTCTTGAAGTAGTCCTCCAGCTCTTGGTTGTCAACGGCATGCTATAATCTTCTTTCTCCCAACTCCCAATCCTTTATGCAGGCCAGCATCTCCACAATTTCAGGGAACAAGCGGCGTCGTCACTTTTTAATTATCCTTCCTATCAAGCTAAAATATGATTCCGAAGAGACAGTAGAAACAAGAACAGACATAATATTTCTAGCCATTATAGATAGGATTGGATAGGTTAGTTTGTGGTCATGCCACCAGAGAAGTAAATCAAAATCATCGTCATATGCAGTGACATTGTCACTGTCCAGGTAAACTGAGAGCTCACTAGCAGTAGAAGCAGATGAAGATAAAGTGGGGGCACAGGCAGGGGAAGGGCCAAAAATAGATCTAGGGTCTCCAAAGATTTTTCCGCATGCCTGTTTTTTCTTACCTGTATGGCTTGCAGGCTGTGTAGCCCTTTGAGTTCTAGCTGCACCAAACTTTCTCTCATATTTATTAAATAACTTGTAAATTTTAGCTTTCACATTAGCATAATATGAAGTATAATCACAACCAGTGCTCTCTTTAAGTAATTCTAGGACTCTAAATAAACCTCTCATCTTAGCTCTAGGATAAAGAAGAATGCAAATGAATATAACAGAGGTATATGCTGCTAGTATTTAAGGAATTTAAGCTTCATAGGATATACAATAGCAATTAGATTTTGATCTTTTTCACTTGCATGTAAATGAGAAGCAATTTCTAGCAGATGGTGTAAGATAAGTGAACTAATTGGATAGTAGACACCAGAAAGAACAACAGTGGAGTCATAAAATAGTTCCAGAAACTCTAATATCTTTTTAGCTATATACCAATGTCTTGTAGACAACAATTCAGAGCCATTATTGAAATTAATGAACATAGAAAAAATATACTTATATGGAACCAAGTGTTTAAGCATAAGATATATAGCATTCCATCTAACATCCATATCTAAGCCAAACTTTATAGGTCTAACACCCTTAGCAGTACAATAGTTCTTAAACATAGCAATTCTTTGATTATAGGAATTTAAAATAGTTAATAGCAGTTTTAAAATCTTCTGTGTAAGGTTTGAACCTCTTCAAACCAGATTTTATAATCAGATTAATGATATGACAAACACAACATTGATGCACAAGACTGTACTTACGCTTAGAAGGATCAATAGGATCAGGTGTAGGAACATGACCTAAATAACCAGCAAACATAGGTGTCCAAGTTTCCATAGCCTTAGCATTAGAAGAAGCATTATCTAGAGTTACAGAGAAAACCTTATCAATCAGACCAAACTCCTCAACCACACAAGCAACTCTTTCAGCAATATTTTCACCAGTATGTTTCACCTTAATCAACCTAAGCCCAATAACCTTTTTCTGTAACTTCCAATCAGCACTCACAAAATGAGCAACAACACTAATGTAATCCTCCTTAGCATTACTAGAATAAATGTCTAATGTTAGAGCAACAGAGGAAGCAGCAGACAACACAGAATTCTTAAGCATATTACGACGTTCAGTAAACAGTTTACTCAGATCTCTAGTGGTGGTCTATCTAGATACTTTAATAAACCTAGGGTTATGAGCACGAACAATGTAATCCTCCTAGGTCTCTGTCTCACCAATACCTAACGGCAAATCAAGCCTAGCAATCAAGTGACACAATTTAGATCTAGCAACATTAGGTTTATAATCCCAGTTATGCATAGAACCATCAGGATTGTAAGCAAGCCTAGACTAAACCCTAGAAGCTTGATCAGTTTTCTGCCTACAAGATTTATGGTGTCTCTTCAAGTGCCTAGTGCCAGCATTAAATCTAGCAGACAAAGTATGCTTACACATTTTACAGGTAGCTTTAGTGCAGATTTGTCTACCATTCACAGTCTCATAGATCTCATCAAAATTAGCCCACACGGCAGATTTATGCTTACCAACACCGGGTCTAGAAGAGGTACCAGTACCAGCAACAGATGGAGTTGAGCTGTTGGAGCAGACCGGGCTCCCAGTCGTCGTCACCCTTTCACCACTGCTGCCGTCTAGATCGATCAGAGCAGCAGAGCCGCTACCGACATCGATACTGAACAAGGCAGTAGCGTCCTCATGGGTGTCATCGTCGTCCTTACGGGCCAGGCCTGCCGTGATTAGATCGTCGTTGCCGGTGAGTAGCCAGACGATCTCGTCATTAGCACCAGCCATGGTGCCCTCGACCGTGGAGGGCTCTCCAGCACCGTGCCTCAATGGTGCGTGGGGCCACCTTGGTCGCTCTATGCCACAGCTAGAGGACGATGCATCGTCTACCGACCTACGCAAAGAGATGGAGGAGGAGGAAAAGAATAGATCAGAATAGATCAATCATCAATGGAAGAAGAGGAGGGTTAGGGTTAGGGTTAGGGTTAGGGTTGTACCTGCACAACCGGAGCCCGATGCCGGAGAAGACGAGGGCCACCCAGAGAAGATGACACACCGGTTAGAAGGACGACGAGCGGCGGAGGAGGGGCAGACAGGGACATGAACTCACATAATCACTGAGATCTAGAGGGGAGATAGGGACAGGGAGAAGGGAGAGGCGGAGAGGGAGGGGATCAGGTAGGAGGAGTAGGGAACTGCTTGACGGCGGTAGGCGGATCATCGAGGTCACCTCATCGGAGTCGGGGAGGACGGAGCCAGACGGCGAGGGCGAGGGCGCGAGCCGCGAGGCGAGATGAGAGCAGCGCGGCGGGTGTGAAATGAACTAGGGTTCGGGGTGAGGGAGAGGGCGCCGCGACGTGTCGCTTATATATGAGGGGAGAGGCGGGGAGCACGTGGGGGCTGGGCCTTAGGGAGGAGGGGGAGTGGGGGACTGGGGGCCGGGGGAGAGGCTGGGCAGACCGTTGAAGCCGGGCCATGCCATGCAAGCCCATGGGCCTGAGCAATGGCCTAGGCATGGCCTTCTCCCTCAGGCCAGGCCAGCCCGGGCCCGCTGACCATCGGGCCGTGCCGTGCTTGGGCCCAGCCAAAATTGCGGGCTTCGTGTTGGGACACCGTGCCTTGGGCTACATGGACATTTATAAGAGTCAGCTATCGTGGGTGCCCTAATCCCCACCGGCCCCATAGCCTTGTACTTTTCTCCTTCGCAAATTACGAGGGCGAGGTGGGACTAGGCCAGGCATGTGGCGAGGGCGCGATGAGGCTGTAATTGAGTCTAACGACATGGCTAGGCTTCGTCCATTTAATCTTATGTTAGTATTATTTATTATATAATTGCTATAACAAATGCAAAATGCTTCTTGTGCTCGTCATATGATGATTAACTCACTATTAAAAATCAGGTCGTGACAACAAACATATTCCTAATGGCATATTCTGTCAACCAGTGCTTCACCATCCTCATGTGTCGACAACCATCAAAAACCGTAGTCCACGCACAAGTGTTGCAAAATTTTCTATATGTAAACGTGTAAAATAAAGACAAATATTGGTTATTAGATAAAGAAATGGCTTATCCCTTGCGAATAGGAAACCAGTCCACTTACTACAAATGCCAAGAGAGAATGACTAAGCGAATGGACCTACGGTCCAGTGGTAGGGCTGTCTAGTGGGACGCTGTCTCTGGTGTCGCACCTTTTTCTAGATTTTTTCTAGAAATTTCAGGGTATGCACACGCATGCGCGTTCGGTGATACTGCGCATTTCCCGCGAACTAGAGGTTAGAGAGCCTCCTAATCTCTTCTTTGCGTGTGTACGAACACGCATGCGTGTGTACGAACACGCATGCGTGTGTATGTTTATGATGTGAGTGTGGAGTGTGTGGGCTGTGTGTGTCCAAGTTATACCCGATAAAAAAATAGAGAATGACTAAAACAAAAGGTCCAACTACAAACTCAATTCTAGTATTTTTTTTTCAAAACATAACACAGACACACTCACATTTACCTCTATGAATGTATACACATATACCCTGTCTCTACGAGGACATCCAAAAGACTGTGTTGGACCGGTAGATCTCGAGATGACAAAGTCAAAATTGACATTTCGCTGTCGATGTGCACATTGTCTACCAGTGAAAGAATAAAACCATATTAAATTTTGGAAAAATCCATAAAAATACGAACACCCGCGTTAAGTCGACGGCTTAATCCAGATGGACATGTCAAACCACAAGAAACCTATCCAACCGAACTAAGGGCCTGTTTGAATATAAAAGCTAATTGCTAGCTAGCTAAAATGAGCTCAAATTAGTTCTAGTACATCCGAACAAGGGGGCTATAAGTGGGCTATTTTTTTAGACAAGTCCTTAACTTGTTGTTAGCTAACTATCTAGCCAACTATAACTAATTTGAGCTAATTTTTAGCTCCAACCAGTAAGTGTATCCAAATAGGCCATAACTTTAGTATTATTTTGTCATCCGAGCAAAGCAAAGAATAATATTGCAGCCATTTCTAATGCGCAACAAACGGAGCATGTTCTCTTTGTTATCCTCTTCACACTGCTGCAACTGCCACCAGCCTTGTAACTAGTGTGCACCCCGGAACAACAAGACCTATAAAAATGTTTTAGTTTGGCATTTTTTTAAGAAAAAACACCTCATTCCTCAAAGTCACTTTGTCCAATAAATACAGTTGCACAGCCTGACAACAACAAAAGTATTGTTTCAACTACCCCGGTTTAAACAAAGACAAAGACTAAGTGCACATGCATGATTGTGTCTGCAGTATTAACATGCTTCCTCTCCAAAAGAAGAATCAGATCTCAACTCCTAACACGCCAAGACAAGCTAACAAGGAGGTCATATCTTCCCTGCTCGCTTGAACTTATCAGCCAGAATCTACAGTATTTTTCTCTCATAACAAAACAGCTCCAGCCGACTTATCAGCCGGCTTATGTACTGCGATGGGCGGAGAGAGAGAGAGAGAGAGAGGGAAAAAATAGTGTTGTGGGAGAGAGGTCCAAGGGAAGAAAAGTGAGACACTAACAGGTGGGCCTTTACATGTTTGGGCTAGTATTGGGTATGTGGTTTTAATTTGGTAATCTGTTGGAGAAAGTGAGTCAAAGTGTGAATTGCCCATAATAAGAGTTCAGATACACATTTGAAGGATGGGGGATAGGTAATCTGCTGGAGATGCTCTTAGAGAGAAGAGTGGCACTAAACCCGTGCCCGTGGAGTCAACCAAATCGGTGGAGTGGATATGTAGGCAGCAAACATGGACATCTTGATGAGGAAAATGGAGGTTATAGATGGTGGTCACGGTTTTGGGGTTGGTGGGACTTGGCTAGCCATGTGGTGAGGCTGTAATTGAGTCTAATGACATGGCTAGGCTTGGTCCATGAAAGGGGTTAATCTTATATTAGTATTATTTATTATATAAGTAATTACTATATAACAAATACGAAATGCTTCTTGTGCTCCTCATATGATGATTAACTCACTATTAAAAACCAGTGCTTTACCATCCTCATGTGTGGATTACCATCAAAAAGCATAGTCCATACAAGCATTGCAACTTTTTCTTTTAAGTAAACGTGTAAATCCATGAAAATACGAACACCCGCGTTAAGTCGAGGATTTGAATTCAGATGGATGTCCACTACCAAAAAACCTACACAGCTGAACTAATTCTAGTATTATTTGGCCATCGGAACAAAGTAATGAATCATATTGCAGCCATTTCTATTTTTCCAATGCACAACAAACTGGGAACATGTTCTCTTTGTTATCCTCATCCACCGCTTCAACTGCAATCAGCCTCGTAACCGGTGTGTACCCCTGAACAACAAGACCTATAAAAATATTTTAGGTTGGCATTTAAAAAAAAAATAGACACCTCATTCCTCAAAGTCACTTTGTCTAATAAATAGTTGAACAGCCTGACAACAACCAAGTATTGTTTGAACTACCCCGGTTTAAACAAAGACAAAGACTAAGTGCACACATGAATGTCTCTGCAGTATTAACATGCTTCCTCTCCAAAAGAAGAATCATATCTCAAGTTCTCAACTCCTAAGTCCTAACACGCCCTCCCCTCTAGAGCAAGAAAAGCTACCGCGGCAAGCCAAAGATGGGCCGCTTCGAGTCCATCATCATCACCTTGGTCGTCCTCGCTGTCGCGATCATCCTCGTCTTCAGCTTTGCCTTTGGCTACCTACGGCATGTCAAGATCACCGTCGACGATGCGTCCCTGACCCACATGGAGCTGGTCACCACGCCCACGACGGCGCTGGCGTACAACCTCTCGCTCATGCTCGTCATCCGCAACCCGAACTGGGCCATCGCCATCAAGCACGACAAGCCGCTGGACGCTGCGAACAGCTTCGACGGGCAGCAGTTTGACCGAGCTCACGTCGCCGACAAGGGCGACAAGCAGCGCGCCGGGAAGACGGTGGTGTACCGCCTCGACACGAGCTCCGACGGCAGGCGGAGCGTGTCACTGGGGAACGCAGGCGAGGCCAGCTTCAGGAAGCAGAACGCGACGGGCCTGTTCGAGGTGGAGGTGAAGCTGACCGGCAAGTTCAAGTACACGGCGCGCTACCACAAGTGCAAGCTTGAGGCGACCTGTCCGCTAAAGCTGCAGCTCGCGCCGCCGGGCTCGCCGGCGGTGGTGTTCCAGAAGGTCGAATGCAAGCTCGCCAAGCCGGAGAATAAATACTGCTAGAGGTGTTTTTCATTGGTTGCATGGCACCGGTCTTTGTTCGGTACGCCATTTATCATGCTAGTGCTGATTGGATTTGGTTTTTTACAATGTGTTTCTATTGCTTGCATGCATGTTCATCCTTTTCTTTGCGCAAAGTTGTAGTAAGATTCAAATTTGAACAACGCAACTATATATACTGTGATCTCGGAGTGCATACCAATCATGTTTTTCTTTTCTTAGAGATCATATCACCGCCTTCCGCGTAGCAAAGGTGTACGTGTAGCCGTGCGATTGCGCGGCATTCCATTTTAGGCATTGTTGGGATATTGTCGGATTCACCTCACAAGTGTTGGGATGGATTGAGTTGGAATTTAGTTCAAGTTCCACTCCAATCCACCCCGCACATGTGCATTGATGTGAATCCGACTATATCTAAACAAGGCCTTACGGAATTTAGCTTGCGCTATTCTCACTACTTTGATTTCCACGCCCTACGTACTCAAAAATCAATGCCTCCATTACCGTTTATTAGTTTTTAAAATTTATTACCGGTTATTGTCACTATGAATAGTTGTTTCACAATAAGCGATCCGAGTCATGTACTCCAGTTTTCTTTATTACTTCATTAACGCCATGACCTTGAACTATATATATATATTGGCCAAATTTTATACAATAGCATATCCTATTATGCAATTCACTTCTACATCATGTTTTGCATATCAATAGCTTCATCGATGTTCTTATCAATCGCTAGATGCCCAAACTTTTACCATTAGCGAAATCAGTTATGCATCTTAGTTGCTATGTCTTCATTTTTAAACTCTCACATTCAACATAGTAATACTTTATTTGACATCAGATGATAATTTGAATTACAGTTTTTGTCAGCAACTCCGGGAGTAGGCGCCTGAGGAAGCAACGTGGCTGAAGGGTTCTTTGCTGTTGGCGTTGTGTGTGTGTTGGGCTCATCTGTTGAGCCGAGTGTGTGAAGGGTTGGGCTTGGCCCATGTAGGCGTAGGGGCTCGGCCCAAGGCGGTGAAGAGAGTGGCTTATAAGCTGTTGTAAAGAATTGAAGCCATTATGGAATAACGGAGAAACTAATCCCCATTACCGTCTCAGCTTCCGAGCTCTGCTCGTCTCTGTTTCTCTCTCTGTTCTTCCCAAACTTCTTGTGCTAATCCTCCTAAACTCTATCTAGCAATACAAGTTCATGACACTTTTGCATCTCCATTCATTTCATGACAAAGATTCAATATTGGCTGCGTTCGCTGGTCTGGTTTTTCCAGACCAGCCGGCTGCTCCTCCTCACAAAACACTGTTTATCAACCAGCCGCTACAGTGTTTCTCTCTCACAACAACCAGCCAGTTTCAGCCAAGTTTCAGACCAGCGAATGGGACCATTTTAGCCAACATATATAAGCTATTTTTTTCTAAAATAATGGCATGTGTTTGTAACAGACACATACTAGAAATCAAGGATATTTCCAGGTTAATTTTTGCGTGGTGGCAGTGGTCGGTAATCTATCAGCATGTTGATGGTTATTTTAATTTTTTTTTCCTCTATTAATGTGGTAATTTCTTTTTTTTTTAAACGTCAAACATGGTAATTTCTAGGACTTTTTTTTGACAAGTTTAATTTCTAGGACTTAAAGATCAAGCATCTTGAAAGTTATTTATTTTCAGATGAAGGGAGTAGTTTCTATACCTATCAAAATTATGCAGTAGACACTATACATAGAAATCATATTCCCAATACATAGTTTCTTCGAAATAAATTTTGTTCAATTACATGTCCTCTCTCTACATTATCTATCTATCACATCTCTTTAAACCTCAGTTTCCACGTAGACATAGTTTCTTACTTAAGAAAATTATGTAGTAGACATTATACGTAGAAATCATATTCTCAATAGATAGTTTCTTCGAAATAAATTTTGTTCAATTACATGTCTTCTCTATACATCATCTATCTATCACATCTCTTTAAATCTGAGTTCCGTAGACATAGTTTCTTACGTAAGAAACTATTTTCTCATCTTTCTTCTTTGAGATTCGTTGGATCGGTTGGCAAAAATTACCAGGATAAAAAAAGCTGGGAGGTTTTGGATTCAGAGATGTACTCCTTCAGTATGGCTTGCTAGATAAGGGTGGCACATTCTACCACACCTCGACTCCGGCGCACAAGTTCTCTGTGCCCGGTATTTCCCCTATGAGAATTTATTTGAAGCTAAGGCAAAAGACGGAATCTCCTATATGTGGGGCAGTATAGTGTGAACTTGCTCAGGTCTTGTTTGATGTGCACGTATTCATCTTAATCTACGTGTGTTGAAGTAGATTGGAGTGAAATTGAACTAACTTCTATTCTATTCCACTCCAACACATGTGAATTGAGATAGATACACATGCATCCAAACAAGACATAAAAAAGCTATAATTTGGCGAAGTGTGACGGAAATCGGGTGGAAATCCTTGATCCCACGTGGAGACACCAGGAGGGGTTATCAAACCAAAGAACACAATCCTTCGTAATAACGTACCTACCTTATCTTTTTTATCTTGATTCTCGTGTAGACATAGTTTTTTATTTAAGAAACTATTTTATCCTCTCTCTTCTTTAATTTCAATGTCACATCAACTTTTTGCTTAGTTCAAATCTTAACTAAGGCCATTCTCTTTGGAGAGTTTTGTAGAATCGTTTCTAAGAATATAGAATGCAATTAAACATATATTAAGCAATCATTTTTAATACATAGTTTCGTTCTTTTGTTTCATTGGCATTTAATTCTATGACCCACATCTTCTCTCTCTTTTTAGAACATTGTCATGTCATAAAATATTTATGTGGCAACCTATTAAATGTAGATGAAGCTATGATAAAACCCCACTAAAAATGACCTAATAAATGTAGAAACTATCCTAGTTTCTGGGTTTAAAATGTCCTCGTTAATCAGGGTTTGAAATGTCCTTATTAATCAATCTAGTTGGCATTGACAAAATGATGGTCTTCTGTCCTAATCTTATTTTCATGTGCCCGATGCTCTCCAGCATCTCCATGTGCGCGCAACAAAAAAATAAAGCGCCGTCCAGATAAGCCCTGGGCCAACTAGCTGAACTGAAAGTGTAAAACAATGACGAGGACCAAGACTATACAGGTCTACTACAGCTATGCATATTATTCTTTACTTGCTCCTTTCTCAACGCATCATCCCATTACCGGATCGACCTCAAATTCCCAATTCAAACAACGGATGCAAACTCCAAGCACAGCCTCCTCCTACATCTGAAGCAAGAACGCCTCATCAACCGCGCGCGCGGCGAGGCAGGCAACCATGTGTGGCTGCTGCGACGGCTTCTGGGACAAGGTCAAGGACTGGCTCATCTGTCTGGCCATCGTCATCGGCCTTATCATCGTGACTGGCGTCGTCCTCATCATCGTCATCTTTGGCGGGCCCCTCCGCCATGTCAAGATCAGCGTCGAGGACGCGTCGCTCACCCGGTTCGCTCTGGTGACCACGCCCACGACGGCGCTGGCCTACAACCTCACGCTGGCGCTGACGGTCCGCAACCCGAACTGGGCCATCGGCATCAAGCACAACAAGCCGCTGGAGGCCGCGTACAGCTTCGACGGGCAGCCGTTCGAGCGCGTGCAGGTCGCCGACAAGGGCGAGAAGCTGGGCCCCCGGAAGACGGTGGTGTACCACCTGGCCTCGAGCTCCGAGGGCCGGGGCGTGGCGCTCGGCAACGCCGGCGAGGCCGAGTTCAGGAAGGAGAACGCCACGGGGGTGTTCCAGGTGGAGGTGGCCGTCACGGGCAAGTTCAAGTACACGCTGCGCAAGACCAAGTGCAAGATCGAGGCCACCTGCCCGCTCAAGCTGCAGCTCGCCGCGCCGGGGGCCGCGTCCGTCGTGTTCCAGAAGGTCGACTGCGAGCTCGCCAAGTCCGACGACAAGTACTGCTAGAGATGATGGGTTTGCAAATGCATTGATTTTGATTTAGAGCTCATGTGTTGTGTTTTGCTCATCCTGTCCCCCTATTGTTGGTTCTTATTGTTGCAATTGACAGCTGTTCGCTTGCTCGTATCTGGTTTATCACCCATGACTTATTAGCCAACAAACAGTATTTTTCTCTCACGCCAAACCAACCAACAGACTTTCAGTCATGATAAGTCAAACCAGCGCAAACAGAACGTGGCGTGAGTTGAACTGTGTGTGTGTTTCGCCCGTCAGATTTCATTGGTTTCGATGCCAAATGTTTGAATACGAGTCCCTCACATGAGACTTGAACAATGCAGCTAGCAATGTACCCCTATTTCACAAACTTTCTTGCTGTGAACAAATCTAGTTATTGCAATGCGATTCCGCATGTTGACAATGGACAAATCTCTGCCTATTCTCTTTTGTTTCTAACCCATTATTATTATTATTATTATTATTATATATATATATATATATATATATATATATATATATATATATATATATATATATATATATATATATATATATATATATATATATATATATATATACACACACACACACACACACACACACACACACGTTGGAGGTTGGACTAGCCGGCCGGTAGTCATTGTTAAGTAGTAGAAGTCACATGGGACCGAGGTTTCTTGTAGGTTATGGTGGACCCCGTTAATAGCACAACAGGAGGAGAAGCTTTTGTAGTTTTGTTAGTAGCTTGCACTAGTCACACCAAACATGATAATATAATATACTCATTCAACGCACGCCACACAGTAGGACAAATTGATGTGGCATGAGGGCATCTACAGTGGGGATGAGTAAGAAATTGTGAAGCACAAAAAAACAGATTCGGGACCAGGATTGAAAGGATCGGTTAGGACTAATTTGGGAACTCAAATAAATCCTCTTGGGTCCATGACTTTTTTTAGGGTGAAAAAATCATAGAAAAATAATTTTAATAATTATTTAGTTCTTCATGGAGGGTTTTTCATCCCTGGCTGTGTCTCCCCTTCCTTCCAAATTAGCCCTTAATGGCTAAAAGAGGGTGCAAATTTCCACAAGGTATAAACACAAATAGGAGCAAGTATTAGTAACAAATGTGAGCCCTAATAAGCAATATAAGCACCTAAACTAACAAGCCAAGCAAGAGCACCCTAAACAAGTCCTATTAACAACAATGCAAGCAAAGCAACTAGCTACTCAACTACAAAAGGGCTACTCCAAAGAAACACTAGCGACTACCCGGGTACTCTAGCAACAAGAACAACTACACAAGCACTCTAGCAACAAGAATGACTACACAAGCAGCAAGCAAGCTAGAGGGCTAAACAACTACACAAGCTAAGAAAACACAAAGAAAAAGCAAGTGTAGAGATTGCAAACCACAATGGGAGACAGATGACACAAGTTTTTTTTCCTGAGGTTCAGTTGCTTGCCGGCAACCTAATCCCCATTGAGGAGTGTCCAAGGATTGTTGCTCCCCTACTAGCTCAACAAGCCCTCAAGATTGGCTCTTACATTAGCTCTAGTGTGTAAGACAGCCAATCACGAGGTACACCAACAGCCTCTATTCCACTAGAGTTGCTCTTCGCCTTAGTTGACGGAGATGAGCACAAGAGCCCCTCACAATCGATTTTCCAAGCACATCACAATCTCTAATTGAGTGCTTCATGGGAACTCCAGCTGCTCCAAGTCATCTAGATGACAACAACCATCAAGTGTAACATGAATCCCACAGCTTCAATAAGTCACTAGTGCATCTAGAGTTGCTCTTCATCACCTTCACCAGAGGGAGAATGAGCACACAAGATCCACTCGCAATCGAGGTCTCGATCACCTCAAAATATCCAATTGAGTGTTTCAAGGGAACTCCAGTTTCTCCAAGCCATCTAGGTGGTAGAAACCACCAAGAGTAACAAGAATCCCGCAGCTTCAATATATAAGTCACTAGTGCCACTAGATGCAAATTTTTAGTACAAATGCACTAGATCAACTCCAATCTCACCCAAAAGCAGTATCAACTAAGAAAAAAATGAGTGTAGTGAGTTCTTAAGCTCTAGTTAGTGTGTGTATCTATTGGGAGTGCAAAGAGAGAGCTCAAGCCCAGGCAAACATTCTACTTAAAAGACACCTCAAGAGATAGTCATTATTCCCTTTCATTGGGTTGTGCGCGTGCTCATCGAAAAGCTCCGAAGGGGGTCACCGGAGAAATGCATAGGAGCCCACAATGGCTAACTCAAGGGCTAGTTTAAATTAGCCGTTGAATTGCCTTTACTTCGATGGTGCTCCATCTAGTGTCATCGGAGAAATTTAGTGGCCACACAGAGCCACCGCGCGCATCTACAAAAGGTTTAGGCCGATGCCTAAAGTCTAGTGAAGGGTGGAGTTCACCACCGGACATTATTTTTGGTGGCCTTACAGAAGGTTTTCACGGCCGCTGGAATCCTCTAGTGCCCCCCGCCGGAGTTTCCAATGACTCACATTCAAATCTATTGCGCACTTCACAAATGCATAGATCATAACCATGTGTTAGCACTCTCTCTAGTGTCCACACTCTCCAATGGCACGCGAGAATAGGTCGTCACTTTGAAACTTCACTGAAAACGATCTGTGAAACAAAAGCCTACGCATATACTACCTTTGCCTTTGGCCTTTTGCTTCCAAGTTCATTCATCTCCGTCATCTTCTTCTCCATGTTGAGCACTTCACCTCCATGGTCCTAGCCATCTCCTCTCATGGATCCATGTGTTAGTCAACTTCGCCTTGTGGACTAACCTAGCTTATCAACTCAAGTAAAGCATTAGTCCCACTAGTTGTCACTAAATTACCAAAAACAAACTAGGCTTTTCAAGGGATACAGTCTTTTAGATTTGATTTTTTTATTCCCATGTAGGATTCCCATAGCAAGTCATTCATTCATATACCTTTACCAAAGAGTGAATTCATTTGTAGTCAGTGGCGGAACATGGAGCCAAACAAAGGGGGGCAACTACACTCTAACATAGCACTTCAGCTATAGTCGGCCCTAGCTCACTCAACTTCTACATGTCAGACACGGAGTTTCCAAGCACAATCTCCTTAGATGAAGACTTGCAGTGGCCAATGCATGGAGGAAGGGGGTGGGAGGCAAGCGCCAAGCTTTGCCTACATTAACCTCCGCCTTTGCTGGCTGTGCCTAAACTTGTTGGGCGGTGTCATCTCGATCCCAAACTTCTATTTTTCAATTTTTAGCTCACTAAACTTGTTTCGAGTCTCATCACTAGGAGAGGTCCCGGTCGAGGGATAATAACAACAAGCTCACCCTTGGCATAGGTGGAGGTGTCCATGGTAGGGTGCGTGTAGCGTAGAGGAGGAAGTTTGGCATGTCCAGCTAGAAGGCAACGGCTCCTTCATCATCATTGTCGTGGATGCCGCCATAGGGGAGGTCCTATACGACGACCTTGGTGACCCCCGGGTGGATCTCGGTGGCAATAAACCGTGGCGCGACTGCGTCCTACTCAATGGAGACATCCGTGTCAGCCACAAAGGGGAGCTCTATAGTACCTTGGCGAAGATGTGCAATCGGCAACACAACTTCTTCCCACCGAGCACAACCGCCGCCGCCACTACCGAGCACAGCCGCCATCGCCGCCACAATAGGGAGCTCTATAGTACAGTAATGAATGAAAGGGGGGACTTTTTAAAACTTGTTGTGAATTAACGAAGAGAGAGAAAAGATGTATCATAGTGGTGATTACAGCTTGGGCACAAAAACAAAATCCAACCTTTGCAAACTGCGTAGTAGAATTCCCGTAGAGTTGTTTTATTCGATGGTAGTACTAGTTATTGGTCAGTTATCATAGACAAAACATATATAAAACAATTAATTGCTACCCTAAGAAACGATGCAAAGATACTAGGCATTTTAGAGGCCAAAATTGGAGGAAGATCCCTCGTTGCTATATAAGTGAAAAAACCATGTGAAAGGGCCTGTAGCCTAATCATTACAAAAGCCTTAGTAGCACTTCAGGTCCTAGGTTCGACTCTATGTGGGAGCGAATTTTCTAGGGTTTAACGGCGTTTGTGCTTTCAGTGGTAAGCGATGTTCCCGTCGACAGCGAGGCGCCTGTGGTGACTTTGTCTAGATGTCCGGATCCGGGCCAGGAATGCTGTTTGGTGGCTAGACGCTCATGGATCTGGCTCGATGCTAGCTAGTTTAGGGCCTATGATGCCTTGGCAACTACTCGTGCAACGGTATAGTGGAACAGTTGTTGCACGAGTGCTAGTGATGAGGCGCACGCAGCAAGGTTTCTAGGTCCATGGCAAGGTTTTGGTGATGGTGTGGAGTTGCCACCGGTGATTGCCTGGTGATGTTGTAGAAGAGGACGACAATGTATGTGTGAGGTTTATAGAGTGGTGGTGTCACGACAGGATGGTAGTGGCTGCTCATGCATGGCATGTTGGTACGTTAATGTAGAAGTTGCGTGGTGGCGCGGTGGTGTATCGCGCATGGCAGTGTTGATGCCACAGTGATGGTGGTAGTCTTGAGGAGGGTGGAGGTCTAGCCATGGACTCGAGGTGCAAGTGTCAACTTTGGCGGAAGGCAGCCGAGGACATATGCTCAATGATTAGGGGCTTGGCATCTGTATGGCAGTTGTTGGGCAGTGGTATGGCAAGGCTGTGCACCACGAGTGTCCATGAAGTTAGCAAGGACGCAGATGCGGGAGTGGTTAGGCAGCATAGTGGTTTGCCATGGTGTTCTGCATGGTGTCTGATGGCAGCTTGAGGCCTTGCTTGACTGTTCTGCTATCCTGATGAGGCGACTTGGTTGATAGGAGTTATGTATGTTGTGAATAGATCTTGAAGGTGCCCCCATGGCGACGACTAGAGGCAGCTACTAACACATCAACTTGGTAGCTTGTAGCAAACTGTGGTGACTAGTGTTGCATGGCAATGGTTGGCCTGCTGCAGGACAACGTTGATAGGTGGGGCAAGTGAGG